GAACGTGCTAAAATGTAGAAAGGGCAACGATGCCAGTGAACAAAACCAAACCAGAATGACAGAGAAAGAGCGCACAGAAGTTTATGATTTACGAGGCTGGTCGTCTGATTCCATTGCAGCTGAGAAGTATTTTGAGAGCATTCGGTGTCTGTGACTGGAACTGAAATTGGATATTTTTTGAGGGACTACAAGATGAGAAATTGTCCTCATTTGGTATTTTGCAGAGTCCTTGGGGAAGATTGAAGAAGCTATGCAGCCCTCCCCTTTCTCACCCTCCCCTCCAAAAAAAAAAAAAAAAAACCCTTGGTGCTTTTTAAGTATTTGGTAATGCACTCCCCTGGCAAAGACTGTTCACAAGGAAAAATTGACAGTGAGCTCTGACTGCTCACCATCAGAATCTTATAAAACCAGCTCTTGCTCATACACTCTGGGTAAATAGCCGCTTCAGCTCGGCTGTGGAAGCTCATTGCTCACAGATGGAGGGCTGTGTGGGGCTCTCAGAAGTTTTAACGAGGAGGCTAAGTAGTGCTTGGGTTCCTCTTACTGAGCCAATGCTCCCAATGAGCCATCTTTCCCAGGCTACTTTTGAAAGAAAACTAAAAATCTCACAAATCTAAAGCTGCATTTCAAGAGCAGTGGATTTGTTTGTAATTATGCAAATCACAGTATTGGCTCAGGCTGCTCCATGATATTTTGAGAGCTACATCCATCAGCTAGGGAAAGGGCGCGAACACTGAGAAAGTGTCCTCTGGAACATTCATAAGGAATGTTCTCCCAAACTCACCTGAGAGTCCTGTCTGTTACCACCAAGCACGTCCCCAGAATCTGCTGCTTCAGCCACTGTGGCAAATCTGGCAAAGGGCAGGGCAACGTTGAAAATATTTAACACCTGGGACGGGGTACTGGCCTATCAGAGGGGACCCTGGTTATCAAAACCAGTTCCAGCACGCAGGTGGATGTCAGCAAAGTCTCGGCCTGCGCAGGTGGCTTGGCTGGTTGTTCTCACTCTAGCTCTGGCCATGTCTGCCAACTCCCCGCCACAGCCTGAGTGCCTGCCTTTGCTGCTCCTGTGGCTGCTCCTGTGGCTGTACTTGGCTCAGGATCTGTGGCAAAGGGACAACGTCTCTGCATTCTCCCTGGGTGACAGCTTGTTCTTAGAAAGGGACAAGAGCATTTCTCTTTCTACGTGTGCCTTTGTGGTAGACCAAATCCCAACATCCCCTTCCTAGGAAGCCCCCCAGGAACCATTTTCTCAAGCCTGACATCTAACTGAAGTCCCAAGTTAGAATTCTGGCTTGATTTCCAAGTGAGGTTAAAAAATGTCCAGTGTCAAACAGGCGCTGGCTGGACCCAAAGGGAGGTGTTTACCTTTCAAACTGGTCTGATCCTCATACTAAAGGTCTCTAGTTCTTTACAAATCAATGTCCCCAAATCCTGTCATTTCCTTATGTATGCCCACAATTTGCTTTAGTCACCCATTTGCTAAATACCTGGTGTGAAGGTTCAGTAATTTTGTCATTTTTAAAAAAATTATTACATTTATTTATGTAGTATGTCTGTGTGTGTGTGTGTGTGTGTGTGTGTGTGTGTGTGTGTGTGTGTGTGTGTGCACATATACCCATGGGCACTCATTATATTTTCGCAAGATAACAGACCTATTGTTCCAAATCCATCTTCTCACAATCAGATCTCTACCATCAAGCCCAGCTGGCTGGCCTGACTTTCTACTCCCTGAAAATGAGTTGGTTCCCCCACAAGTTTCTTCCATGAAGACTCCCAGGTGGGCAGCCCAAGAAAGCCAGACCAGCTGCATTCAGACGTTCCAGATTAGGCTAAGCCTGAGGGGACACTCGGGAGAGTCTTATTTACCTGCACACATTATCTCAGCACTCACAGCTTTAAAATCTTTAAAAACAGCTTCTCAGGGTGGAAGTGTTTTGAAGTCTCAGGCTTTGATATCTTCAGAGGGATGAACAGCAGACCCTCCAGAGGGTCGGTGAGTCCGGTCCTGAGTTTGTCAGTTCCAGAGTATTTACTTCAGTGCTAAGAACCTGAACTCATACGACAGATACTGCTCTTGGTTTCTGACCATTTTAGGCAGAAGAGAGATGAAAACTAGTGATGGTGAGGCAAAGGAGACTTCGAGAACTCTCTCTGGCCAGGAATTTGTATGTCAAAATAAGGAAAGCATGGGAGTTGAGGTTGAAGGAGCAGACATCATAGCTCCTAGCCAGGAAATCTCTGAAGTTAGTTCCATACCAGCCTCTGGAAACTTCCCCCTTCCACCCTGTGAAGATGCCCTGGCTGCATAGTCTCCCTTCACCTATATCTGTCATCAGGTGTAGGCATCCAGATTTGAAATTGAACTTGACCCTCCTTCAGGAGGTCAATTAGAATGTGTCCATGAACGCTGTAAAATTTTACTGACAATGTATTCACTTTGAGTCATAGTTTCTTGGAAAAAACAATGAAGTTCATTAGCTTCCATTCATCAAGACAAGGCACCCTTTTAATTTATTACGTATGTAGTGTTCTGCCTGCATGACAGAAGAGGGAGCCAGATCTCATTACAGATGGTTGTGAGCCACCATGTGGTTGCTGGGAATTGAACTCAGGACCTCTAGGAAGAGCAGCCTGTGCTCTTAACCTCTGAGCCATCTCTCCAGCCCCCAAAGCACCCTTTTTAATTAAAGAGTTGACCTTCCAAAATACTTTCCATGTGTGCAGGAACATTGGTGTACAGGTCGGGGAGCTGAGAGTTTGTGGTCTGTCTTTTTGTGTTTGTTGTTATTTGCTTTTTCAGTGTCTCACATGGTTTAAGCACCTTAACTTGGGTTATATAACCCAGTCTCCTTTTCTCTTGCTGTTTTTTTTCCACCCAGGAATATAGAAAAACTTTAAATACAGAAATATGCTTATAGCCGCCAAGCATATTTGAAATATTCTGAATTTCCTGGATAAAAGAAATTATTATGAGTTTGAAATATAAAGATGCCAAAAAGAGTGCTTGACAAATGTTTCAATAAACATCAACCTCTTGATTAAAATGACCTAAAATATAATCCTAATATTAGAGAAGGAAACATTAGATGATTTTTTAATACCATACATCATGGCTCTATAATACATTCATACATATATGTGTAAGATTGCTCTGAGGTGTCAAGAGATACTTATGACAATTTAGGGAAATCTAAAAGATTTGGATTCATCTAAATGTAAACTATATCTAACAAAACCCGAAGCTGTATCCATCTGAGATGCTAGGGAAAACTTAAGGGTTTTTTCTTCTACATAATGAAGATTCATTTGGAATTAAGTTTGATAGATTATTTGAGGTATTCATTATTTCTTTACAATGTTATAAGCCGTGGCACTTTACATTAAATTCTGCATATATGTTCAAGATATGTATCTATACACCACCTCCCAAGGAGATAATTGTGAATGTGAACCTTCTGTGAAAGCCACCTTAAAGTTGTGTGTGTGTGTGTGTGTGTGTGTGTGTGTGTGTGTGTGTGTGTTGTGTGTTGGAACACAGGGGCTCGCTATGTCATCCAGGTTGACCTAAATCCTCCTGTCTCCTACTGACATTACAGGTGGGTGATAAAAATGAGTCCATTTCTAAGGGTTGTTGCAGAAGCCAGGCTGGGCAGTTACATTTCCTCTTCTTTGTGACACTGAGACACAAGGACTCCATTTAATTGACCCTTCGCTCGTCAGCACCCCCTCAGAGCTCTGCTGTCTCTTGAAGCTCATCTCTCAGGAATTTGGAGATAAGACCTCTCTAACCGCCAACCTGATTCCCCTTGCCTGCTCTTAACAGAATTTCCAGTCAGCGGACAAGGCCTTGGGGAAAGAGAAAGGCTACATTCAAAGATGGCCCCAGAGATCCATTCTTGACTAGACACGGGGCAAAAAGAAAAAGAAAAAGAAAAAGAAAAAAAAAAAAAAGCAGGCTAAGCCCCTGAGCAAGGCAGAAGACAGGTCTCTGTTCCTGAGGTGGGACCACGTCACTTCCACAGGAGGCTTTGTGGATTCCGTGCCCAAATCAGGCACACCCAACAGCTTCAACATCCTTGGGTAGACCCATTCCCAGATGAAAGGCATTGAGTGACTTCTGTGTCACTGAGCATTGGTGACTGTTTGTGACATTCTACTAGGCAGCATGGGAATGGAATGTATGGTTGAAGCATGTGGAGCCAATGAAGGTATTAATCGTAGGAAGGAGAGGGTCATTTGTATTTGGTATCTTATAACACAAGTAGATGAATAAAAAGAGGCACCAAGAAATAAAAAAGCTGGGATACGTGTTTGACCATTGTAAATGTGGGAGCAAAGATAAACATCTAGGCTAGCACAGATAATGCAATGAAGACTACTGACATTCTCTTCGGGGAGGAAAAAGTATTCAATGAATCTCATTTTGCAAGGCAAGTCTCCAGAAAAGCAGGGACAAGAAAAGGAGGCATCTGGGGCAAAGAATAACACAAGTTAAAAAGAAAGTTGGGTTGTTCACATAACCAATAATGGTATGGTCTACTTAAACGGTTGGTTTTTTTTTTAAAAAAGCGATGCTCACAACGTCCACTTGCTCCACACCGTCCGTTTGCGACAGTAAATGAAAAAAAGTGTGCGCTCCCAAATGAGGCTCTGATCCGCCTTTCCCAAGAAAGAAGAACGTATGTCTGCCACTGCATTATGTAAAGCAAACTGGTGGAGCCCACCGCAGCCAGGAGCGGGAATGGAACTCAGGTCTTAACACATTAGGGTCCCAGGGAGACTTCCAGTCCACACATGTACAGCTCTGGGTCACTTCCACGTCGCACCAGACCCTGGGTTCCTTTCTCCACCACGCACCCAGCGCGCTCCCGCGTCCCGCGCGCGCACCCGCTGCCCTCCCACACACGCACCGTCCCGAGGGGCTCCCGGGGTTGGGGGGGGGGGGGAGGACGGGCTCGCCCCGCTGGCGGTCACCCGAGCCGGCCCCACGGTCTCACTTTACCTCCCGCGCAGGCAGGATGCCGGCCGCCGCCGGTTCCACAGCGGCCATCGGTCTCCGCCTCTCTCCCCTTCTGGTTCAGCAGATTGGGGCCCTCTGTGTTTTCAACAGGTACCATGGTCACGGTAGAAGTTAGAGCGTCCCCCTGGCCACCAGACCACCCCGACCCACCGCTCTGACAGCAGTGGTCACCGTCCCCATGGGCGGCATGCTAAAGCAGAGTGGGAGGGGTTCGGGGCCGGGGGGCGGGGGGTTGGCGGGGGCGCGCGGGGCGGGGGGGAACCTTCGGGGCAAAGCCAGTGTGATTTGTAACCAACTTTGTTTCTATTTCCGAAGGCTTTGCCCTTTTCGGTGACAGAGGCTGTTGCTATTCCCAGCAGCCTATCACGAGCAGGGGGAGGGCCGTGTCTCCAGGATTGTTTTGCCTTTAGATGCGTGTTGGAAGCAAGAGGTTAAGACTTGGGACTCTGGAGGCAGCAGCGTTTGTTTGGCCACCGGCTGGGGGCTAGCTCTTGTGTGTACCCCCCCCCCACCCCCCCACCCCTGCAATGTGAAAAGCAGCTTGGAAACAGAAGCGTGAAGATTTTAAATGCAAGTCTGCAAGCCGAGAGTGGGGAACAAATACCCACAGATGGGATCGGTTAACCTCGCAGAGGAAGACTTTATGTAAAGACATAGCAGAAGGAAAAGTGTATCCATTTTTCTTTTCTTTTCTTCTTTTTAAGCAAGCCCGTTACCCTAAAAGCCACGACACTCACCAGTTTAAACAAAACATAAAACGTGTTTGTTTCAACGGGATTTGGGTCTAGGTAAATGCCTTGCATAGCTTTCGCTCTAGGCCTGTGGGGCGAATGAAGGCCTGCTCCCAACTCCAAACGCATCAGTTCTTTAGACACTTTCTAGCCCGAGTTTATAGCAAAGCCGTCCATTTAAAAACTGCACAATTGACCTGAAGAGCGGAGCAAACAGTGGCTCCTCTGTCAGGTTGCTCCTTGGCTTGGCTAGCAGGAGGATACTCGCTTGCTCGGTATTCAGAGACAACTTGAGCTGTTGTAACATGAAACAGATCAGGGCACCAGTGGGAGGGGTGTTTTCCTGGTTTGTGAATCTGTACTTACATAAACAGTCAAACAGACAGGATATTTTTACCTTCGGCTCTGTAGTAGCAAATCATAGCCATTGAAAACCCGCGGCCTCGTCTTAGAAATCATCTGGAGTGAAAACCAAACTGTATGAAGCGCTTGTAAGACAGACATTACGCTACATGCATGAAGCCGAGTGATTCTTTTCCCAAATAAAGCTTGTTAGAGAAAAATGGAAGCGATTAACTTGCCTAAACTCTTCAGAGCAGGGTTGTGGCTCAGTAGTAGAGTATTCGGCTACATGCACAAGGTCCTGGGTTCGGAGCCTCAGAACAGCAACCAACAACATACCCAGTGTTCTCTCCTCTCTCAAGGCTATTAGGAGTGGAGCTGGCCTTAGGAAGCCTCACACTGTAATTCTCTTGCATCCCAGCCTCATATGTCTTCTTGACCTTAACAGATGCCGTGACACACAGATTTTTTTCCTCTTAGCTGTTCCTCCGCAAGGGAAGCAGGTCTGTACTTGTCTAGGCAGTGACCTGGTTTTGCTTATTTCCCACACTCTGGGTCACAACCAAGTTTTTCCTTAGCATCGTATATTCTCATCACCCCCGATCACGAGTCATTTCTGTATTATTCCTTAGGAAAGACAGGAGCAAGTGGAAACAGATCTGTAACAATTCAACGAGTGTTGATTATACACCTGCTGTATACATGCTGGTCGTTACACCTGCTGTATACATGCTGGTCGTGCCGGGAAGAGCAAGCCAAGCCCTGAATACACAGCTCATGCCTCGCTAAGAGAGCAAAGCTCAAAGCCCACCCCAGCTAATGTAGCAACACCAAAGAGTTCAGAATACAAAACGGCTGAAGAAACCACTTTTATTTGTTCCCAGGTGTGTTACAGGGGTGGCGGGATTTATCTGTGAGCACACATATTTATCATTTCATCATATTCCTTTGCCCAGAAGCTATTATGAACTTAATTAGTGTGGGATGGGACAAATATCCTTGCCTTGGATGACTTGTAGAAATGCTTTGTTTTATGGCATAACCACCCACCATCACCACCATCACCACTGGACCTATGTTAGCAGGAAGTCTTGTGTTGTTTTCTGTGGCAGTTGAGTAGGCACAAGACAAACCCAGTTCTGGGATGCCTTATTATGATTGTGAGTGGCTCAATAATCCTTGCCCTGCTCTTTGTAACTGTACTATTCAGAGACTCCATAGGCATAAACCAGAAGCCAAGAAGAATAAGGAAACAACATGACTGACCACATCGCCTCCTGGCATCTGACTCTGTTTCTTGTCTCGCTGCTGTTGGCCTGACAAAGGCCACTGGCTGTCTCAAGCTCTGGCCTGTGCTCACTTTGTTCTCTTGCATCAAAGTTGCCTCCGAAGTGCGGCGCCAGGGTGTGCTGTGTATTTTCAACCCTCAGAAGCAGTTTCTTTGACCTTGCTCCGCCCTTCTGCCTTTTCACTTCTCCATTTCCCCCAAAGCAATTGATAGAGATCAGGATTCTGGTTACCCAAGCTTCTGGTTAGTCATAGACGCTAGAGGCCTTCTTCAAAGCAGGCAATAGAACCTTTTCCATTCTCCCTTGAAGTGAGGTCTCACTCCATTCTCAGAAGGAATGCTATGCAGAAAGGCCAAGAATGTGAACACACAGGTCTTGCTGAGTTTTCATTTTAGCTGTCACCATTAGACTACACCCTATGGTCCATTCACATTTCTACATGGCTCTCCTGTCCATTCTTCATTGAACCCAAGAATGAGAACAGTTTTCCATAGGTCTTGAGAGCTTCATTGCTGGAGGTGCCTACATCACATACAAGTTTAGCTAGATGAATGTGCCATGGTTACTTGGGTTAGCCAGTCTTTTGTTATGGTTGTGCCGGCCATGACTGTCATGTCATGATGGGTGCTGAGAAAAGTTACCCCATACTTCTGCTCCTGCAGCTACCAGACTGATCCCTGTGAATCCAATAAGCTTATCATTACTAGAATGTGAACTTCAAGAGGGCAGGAAGCTGTACATTCCTCTATCTCCATATTTCTAGCTCCTGGGAGGAAACCTGCCATGCTGTACATGCTCAACAAATATCTGTCACATAAATGAGTGATCTCAATTAGAACTGTTAGGGGGCCAAATGACTTAAGCTTTCGAAACATCGAAACCCATATCACGATTGCTTATGGCACTTTGTTCCTGCTCTCACCTTTCTCTTTGGGGAAAACACCACTGCAGGATGCCCCCAGCGGACTCTGAACCATTCATGCCAGCATTAAAAGTTCTTCCTCCATTCAGAGAGTATATAACCAGCGGCCAGAAGACAGGCACTCCATTGCTCAGATCACCAATCATTTTGCCACATTCCACTTCAGATCATTGTTCGTAGGCAGTGCTGCCACATCTTCAGACACTGTGACTTACAAAATGACAACATGGCACAGTAGATGCTTGACTTTGTGAAATATTATTGCCTTCATTATGCAGAAATAGAACTCAAAACAGCATCAAACATGCTCAAGATCAAAAGATATTTCCAATGTCTGATTATGAAAATTTTGACTCATACAGGAAATCCTACATTCTATAACAGGATTTTACTGTTTGCCCACTGACCTGTCTACCTACCAATCCCTCTATCTATTGAAATATATTCATTGTTGTTACAGTTAAAGTAATTGTAAATGCCTTCCATGCAGTATAATTCACTAGAGGGCTACACTCTTTAGGTTTCTTCTTCTTTCAGCCAAGTTTTACATGCAGTGTTGAGCACAAAGCCCAAGAATGCCATTATCCACACTCAGGAAAGCACACACAGCCCGATCCCTGGTTACATCACAGAACATGACCAGGATCCTGGAAAGTTCCCCAGGTCTCTTCTGAGCAAATTACCACCCCAACCTCAGGTGCTTTGTTTGCTCTCATTGTTTGGCAAGTAAATCACCTCCACTTTTTCTGAATACTTACACAAGGGAGGAGTGTGGACTCTCGTGTAAAGCATCTTTCACTAATTCGAGATTCACCCGTGTTTGCCAGTATACTATCAATTCATTCTCGGTAACATGAGTGAACACACCAATTTATTCGTTCCCTTTTATGGACACCTACGCTGGCCTCAGCTCTCTTCTATCATAAATACAGCTGTTATGAGAACAAGTATTTTTGCAGAACATAACATCTCAGGGCACAGCAGTCCAAGCCTGTTTGATTCCAAACCCACACGCTTGCCTTTATATCCTGCTGTTTCTCTGTAGTGCATCACTGTTTATGTGGACATCTCTGGAGGTTTCAACCTAAAAGGGTTTACTGAAGTATAAACACAAGTGGAGAAACGCAATCCTTAGACAAACAAGGATTCTTGCTTAGCCATATGCCAATTAATACCCACCCTGGCATAGTTGTTTGGAAGGATATTTATGTTATCACTTGCTTATGCTATCAGTATAGTTTTGCTTTCTACATGATTCCTTGTTGAGTTTTTTTTTAATTTTGAAATAGAGTCTTGCTGCATATCTGGCTGGACTGAAACACTATATTCAAAATAGGTAAAGGCGATTTATGGGGAAAACAAGAATATTATTACTTCTAGTGGTTATGGTGGGAATTTCTTCTGATGAGATGTGATGGAACTTTCCAGAATGATTATGTTCTTTGTTGATCCTTCTGCCTATGCCTTCTAAGTGCTTGGATTATAGGTATCTTCCACCACACCTGGATGCTAAGTATTTTCAGTGTTCCTTCCATATGCTTAGAGTTTCATAACTCACAACAGACTGTTTAAAGCTTCTTAAATTACAAAGTGAGCATAGTTAAATTCATTTTATGACCACTGTGTTTAATATTATATATTAGTCATTCATAAGACAATGAAGCAATACGAGAAAATGTTGATATTGCTATTTGAAGTAGGAAAATCAGTAGAAAATTATATACTCAATATTTTCACACAAGCCTTCAAAAATATACAAATATATTGTTCAAGACTACTAGGGAACTTCGAAAAATTAAAATAAAATATAATTTACACATGGAAAATCATGTGTAAAAAACATTGTTTTAAAAATTGTGGCATGGGAATACAGCCTAGTGGTAGATGCTTGTTTATCATTCACAGGAGACTGGAATGAGACCCTCAGCACCACACACACACACACACACACACACACACACACACACACACACACACACACACGTGTCCACAGTTACTATCACTATGTTATTGAATGTATAATGACTATAGGTCTGAAGAAAAGTCATGCATGCTGAGGGCTGCCATAGCCCACTGAAGACAGTAAATGTATTTATAAAGCATTTTTTAAAATATATCAACAAATATGTCTTGAGACAGGGTCAGTTTTTTTCTAATGTGCACAAGGGTACATTTGGACTACTAATGAGGCTACTCAAGAGATTATAATATTTCTTTAAATTCCACCAGCATCTTCTGTATTAGTTTGACCTCTGTCTGTAGTACTTTGCTACATAAAATGAATGCAGCGTTCTATTTTGGTAGTTTTTTTTTTTTTCAAATAAATTATCTCTAATGTTTAAGATTTCCTCAATACCATTCTCACGCCACTTGGATGGAGAGTATTACCCAATTACTTTTCCTTTAAGTTAATCTTCCTGTCATAGAGGAATGCCAGGAACATTTGCTTTGTCACATGTAACAATAGGCAGTGTGTATTGGCTGGAAAGTGCT